AAAGAAGATTATCAAATAGGTAGGTCCAAAAGAAAATTAAGGGAAATGGGGAATCTGGTCAAAAAAATGAGATCAGCACCATATATATAATAAGAACACATTAATTTTTGGCATAAACAAGAACAATGGATTCATTACTAATAAGTAAAAAAAAAGGATTTGAGCTAGAAAAACTCAGAAACTAAGATTTGTACAACAACAAAATATCGTTACAAAAAGGAGTTGCAAACTCTGAGTCTCTGACTTACTCAGAAATTTAGAATTTTATAACTTGATAACAAATAGAATAAGGAAGCGAATCCTCCACTAAGTTTCTGTATATTTTAGACAGATAGTCGAAGAAGACCAAAAAAGAGGAAATGAAAGCAACTCGGGGCACAATCAGGATCAAAAATGAAAAAAACAAATCACACAAAAAGGTATAGTCCAAGGGACAAGAAAAAAGAAAGAGAAAAATTTATTCCATAGAGAGCAAATAAAATATATAAAACAAAAACAATAACAAAAACAAAAAAAAAAAACAAAAAAAAACAAAAAAACAAAAAAAAAAACCAAGAAAACCAAAAACAAATGAATGAACAACAAAATTAACCTGGGAAGCCATGCGAGCCCATTTGTTGCCGAACTTAGCGTGAAGCTCGATGATGAGTCTCTCCTCCTCAGGCGAGAGCGAACCTTTCTTGAGATTAGGCCTCAGATGGTTTGCCCATCTGAGCCTGCAGCTCTTACCGCATCTAGCCAGCCCTGAATTCTTCTGCACCGCGTTCCAGTTTCCCTCTCCGTGCTTCTTCACGTACTCTACCAAAATCGCGTCCTCTGCTCCCGTCCAGGGCCCCTTCTTGAGGCCCCGCTGGTGATGGTGGTGGTGGTGGTGGGAGCCGCCTCCCGTCTTATGAACTCCGTCCATAACTCCGCTGTTGTTGATTATCATGACGGCTTTTAGGCCTACAGCTACCTAGCTCTCTATTAGTTATATGTGAAGTTATCGGCCACCTATGTTTCTTTCTTAATTCTTTGAGTTTGGTTTTGTTCAATGTGATTTCTTTATTTATGGGATGCTTGAAATGTTACTTTAAATTGGGATAGAGAGAAAGAGAGAGAGATATGAAGGTTTGGAAGGGTTGATCTTCTCTCTCCTCTCCCAGGATGTGAGAAAGAAATGCAAGAAAGAATAGGGGAGAGAATCGGAGTTTAAAGAGAGAAAGACAGATGCAAGAAGCTAGAGCTAAGATCTTGTCTCTATTCTAGCTATGTTTTCGTTTCAGACATGGATTTCAGATTAGAGAGAAAAAGGCGAGAAAGCTAGAGAGAGAGAGAGAGAGAGAGAGATATAGAGAGAGAAAGGGAGAGGATGATACGAGAAAGGAGGGTCTCTGAAGTTTGGGGCTTTGGTGGGGATGGTGAGTGTGTGTGAAAGAGGGGGGATTTATTTAGAGGTATGAGCTTCCATTTCGGTCCGGGTTGCATGCTAAGTGGTACGTCCGTGGACGCGTTTTTTATGTCCACCCTTCATTGCTATTACAACACACTCTTCCTCTCTTTCACTCTAGAACACCATTTTGGACATTTACCCTTCCCCTATTTTATTTTTTTTTCCCTATATATCAAAATAACCCAAATATTGTAAATTCAATTCATATGCATTTCACCTGTTTTTCTTCTTAGGTCAAACTTCAAAGATACAATTTAAGAAATACATTTGAAATATACCATATACACTAAACTAATTTGACCACATTTACAAATCGCATTGCTCGTCGGACCTCTCACAAGTTCAGAGTTTACATGGGGCCCATTGAGAGTTAATTACAAAAGAATCTCTCATCTTTCTAAGACTAAAGCGATACGCGGAATTAAAAGACGGACGACTTTTTTGAGCATTCTTATCCAATTAGTACTGAAAGTTAATATTAGGATTACGTTCGCTGTGAACCAATGTATTATTAGTTCTTGTCGTATGTTATTATATTAAAAAAAATTCTCATCGAACTTACCAAGAAAATGATTCGCCTCGATGTTTTAAATGTATTCTCTGAGATTTTCTCTTTCTATATTTAAATATATTTGAGCATTTTTATTTGAAAGAAAAAAAAAAGAGAACAAAAACAAAGTTATCACCATTTCTCTTTTTCTGACTCAGTTACATTAATTACATAGAGAGAAAATATGAAAATTCACCACCAATTAGCTAGCTTATAGTGCTTGCTTAAGTTTTATTTGCTAAGTGAGTCTATGACTTTTTACAATATGATACAAATAGTTTTCTTTATCAATCAAAGTTAAGTAGGTAGTTCTGTTGAAGTCTCTTTCTATATTTAAATATATTTGAGCATTTTTATTTGAAAGAAAAAGAACAAGAACAAAAACAAAGTTATCACCAATTCTCTTTTTCTGACTCAATTACATTAATTACACAGATAGAAACTATGAAAATTCACCACCAATTAGCTTATAGTGCTTGCTTAAGTTTTATTTGCTAAGTGAGTCTATGATGCTTAAAAGCGAAATTTTACTTATGCACTGAAACATTTTTTTTAATAAACTGATTTTATCTATATTAGGAGATGGAGGAGTGGACTAAGCCTCACAATGCACTAGCAATAATGTGGTTCAAATTCGCCTTAACAAGAATCGAACTTAAGACCTCTCATTTATAAATGAAGAGGAACACCACTAAACTGTAGTACTAAGTGGCAGTTACACACTGAAACTAAATCTAGTCATTTCCACCCTCCTTTCTTGCTATTTGGGCACGCCAAGGGCAATTTTGTATTTCTATCAAAAGAACGTTACCTTCTTTTTTTAATTTTATATCTTTGTGATTACTTTATATTCACTCCCTTTATTTCCATTAAGGATCTGAATTTTTTTTCAATAAAACTTTAATGCCTTTCCTTGAAAACTTATATGCATTTTGACTGTATTAATTATACTTGAACTTAGCGTTTTTAGGAAATATTGTTTCTGAAAAAGTTGAGTACTTGTTTGGAATATAAGTAGACAATGTTGAGAGAAACTCAACTGAATCAATCACAATTATTTGTCCTTTGAATTTCATCATAAAAGTTATAGAAGTATAATCGTATTTTGTTATATTTAGCTGTGGGCTTTGTTTGGTATGAAACTTTTTTTTTTTTTTAACATACGATATTATCTACACTATGAGAGGTGGCTAAGTCTCACATTGGGCTAGCAATAATGTGGTTCAAATTCGTCATTGGTGAGAACCAAATTTAAAACCTCTCACTTACAAGTAAAAAAGAATATCATTAAACCGTAGTGAACAACATGCAATGAGTATTGTTGAATGCTATAGGCACCATGCAATGCATAAGTTACAAATTTAACATGCAATGAGTCCCAAAAAATACTTTGTATAAAATTTCATGAAATACCAGTATTCTTTTCTTGTAGACATTGCATAAGTTGCAAATCCAATTCTTTTTTTATTTATTACTTTGTACAAAATTAAATTAAACATACGAGAAAGGATGTGAAATCAAATTTAAATTAAACAAGCCTACAACTACAAGGACCCGATCTACCTTCAAACCTTATGACTTATGTAGATTTTTTTTATTTGAATATAACAAAAGATACATTGGATTTCAAAAAAAAATGTATACCTGGTTGAATTTGAACATTCCAATCACGAGACAACAATGGAGTAAAAAAGATTGCGGCCATAAAGGGCTTTCAGGCTTATTAAGAATAAAGCCGAATATGAATTATATCTTTTAATAGTATCAAGGAAATTTAAATATAATAGTTGAAAACCACTACTATAACATGTATGAAAAATTTCTTCGGATTCTCTTTGTGGGAATCCTAGGGATCCTCATATCTTAACCGTTCATCATACATTGTGCGGCTAATTTTCGCTAGATACTATTTGTGTTTAATTTTAAATAAAAAAATTTAAAAAGATTTATGATCGCATAATTTACGATAAACGATTAGAATGTGAGGATCCCTATAATCCCCACAATTTAGATCCGAATGAGATCCAAATCCCTATAACATTATTAATGAAACCACCCAAGCACTACAAGCTAGCTACGCTACACATGCACTATAAAAGCCCCAAACAAGGGACTTTCAATGACACATATCATGGAGTCAATTGAAAATTCTCTCAAATGTAACGCTCTAGAATTTTCTAAATCCCTCTTTCTAATTTTTGTATTGGATTCCTAACAACTTTAGCCTAATCTCAACGACACTTTATAGTCCCACATCAGAAAGCTCTGTGAAAAGGTATCTAGAAGCCTTAAAAACAATGACCCCAGATACAAAATGTAAATTCTATGAAACGGATGTATGCCCCCCCCCCCTCTCTCTCTCTCCCTCTCTCCCTCTCCCTCTCTCTTAGATAGAGCAGGGTGACATACAACCCACGAGATGGAAGTTTTTCAACTTAGATACGAGTCAAGGAGTGATCTGAAGACCAAAGTGGTACCAGAGTACACCATATGAACCTGAAATTAATTGGTGCCTTTTGCATTCAAATAAGGAAAATTGACTTTCAAAGACCAACTCAGCATAGCTAACTCCAACATGAAGTCTGAAGGTATCTATTGGTCTGTACTAAATCTCTATTCCAAGACAATCCGCAATTCTTTCGACTCATTGTGCTGGAAACAGAAAACCTTACTACATTGATTCTCCGGAAGACGAGAAACCTCCTTCTGCATCGTGAATTCAAGTTGCTGCCACTTGTGTTTAAATTCCAACCCAATACAATAGAAGTGCAAACCACACCTGGTAAAAATGCTATGACTCTACTTGCTTTTAACAAAGCTAAGTCCCAATAGAGGTCTTGAATCCGTCAAATCTAACAAAGCCGGACTCATTACTTCAGGGTGTTCCATTTCGTACACAAAGAGCGTGTTTGTAAGATTCATGACATTTTTTTTATGTATGCAGCAATCAAACACCAGTGATGACTCCTCTGTATTACACACGCATTTTCGGATAAGCACAACCTCAATTACCAAATATTTGCCACATAATTTGAGTATTAACAGTTATATTCATGGACTATCATGAATCAAAACAAAAATGTTTGACAATGTTGCCAACGGGATTTATAAAAAATTATGATTTACAGGACCATAAAGAACCACATTTTGTGAAACAACTTGAAAAGAGAAGATGCCAGAAGTACCTCCTACACATTGTGGAATCAAAGTAACCATATATGTCAAGCATCCCCAAAGTTCTTGGTTTGTTTCCTTCTTCAGACATCAGATGATTTAATGCCAGTGCCACAGGGCTTTCCCGAAACCCAAGTTTCATTAAACTTCTACGATTTTTTAAGCAATTACAACATGTCCTTGATAAAATCGAGATTAAGCGTGTCCTTAACGATAAGGAACAATCCTAGGAAAATAACAAGAGTTATCCCTGATGACATAATCCCCTGCTCTACTTCTAGTGGGAGCTTTCTCCCACCCCTGGCAGCCTCTATGAGGATGAAAGCCAAGGTACCACCGTCTAAAGCAGGTAACGGAAGAAGGTTGATTACTGCAAGGTTGAGATTAAGCAAGGCTGCAAACTGATAGAGTCCATCAATATTCGACCTTGCAACTTCTGCCCCTACAGCTATGATTGCAACTGGACCTGAAACCTTGCTAGCTGTCTGCGAGAAGTTAAGAACAGTGTGCTTTAAACTATCTAAAACATTAAATGACAAGCCCCAAAATTCTCTCCCAGTATAATTAAAAGCTTCTGAAACACTTTCGGGTTTAACTTTCGTAAACTTAACATTTGGCGATAGTTGCACTCCGATTTTGCCTGTTCCATCATAATTCTCATCCGGGGTGATCCCAATTTCAAAATCCTGCTGTCCCCTCGCAACCTTAAGAACCACATTTCTTTTGGGACTCTGCTTAATCACATCAACAATCTCTGACACACCATTAGGACCTCCTCTTGGCAATTCATTTCCGTTAACCTTAAGGATCACATCGCCGGCAAGCAACCCATCTCGGGAAGCAGCGGAGAAGGGGCGAACCTCGGGCACAAGCACCCCAGGATAGGCCTCTTGTACAGGCAAACCAACAGACAACACTTGAGTAAAGATTATAAGATAGGCAAAAATAATATTGGCAACCACACCAGCTGAAACCACAATTATTCTATCCAATATTGGCCTGTTCTTAAGCAGATTCTTATCATCAACTGGAATGTCACTATCTGGATCATTATCTGGAAACCCCACAAAACCACCTAAGGGAAAAGCTCTAAGAGAATACTCCACATTGTTTGCATTGAATTTAGCTAAAATTGGACCAAAACCAACTGCAAATTTACTTACATGGATGCCTTGGAGATAAGCAGCAAGGAAGTGACCACTCTCATGAACAACAATTATGGCCGTTAGCACAGAAGCCGCCTCCAAAACCGACTGAGCACTCTCAAAGTTGCCATAGTCGAACCCAGGAATCACACAAGTCCTAAACTTGAACCTTTTCCCATGTGGGTACCTGCCATTTTCGATGAAAAATCGATCCTTGCACTGAAAACCGACGTCTGGAGAAGAGAAAGAGTAGCAAATGGAAGAAGACGGAGGTTTTGGAAGGTGGGTTTTGGGTTTTGATGGAAAACCTGAGATGGATGATCTGGAATTGGACAACTTGATGAGAGAGAAAGAAGAAGAGGAGGGTAGAGAAGCTGAGAGGTTAACGATCATGGTTCTTTTTTTCGGTGGTTTTCTGATAGGGGGTGTTAAAAAGGTGAGGTTTGGTTGTGTGACGGAGGAGGGGTTGGATAATTCATAATCTCCTGCCTTTTTTGGGTTTTGTGGAGGGGAACTCAACTGACTCATTTGTCTTCCCTCCCTCTTATTTTTCAGCATTCGGGTGTGTCGTGCTTGTTAAGGATAGTAATCCAATGGTAGAATATGTAGACACTTGTTAAAAGATTAGGAAGGTTGTTAGAGTTATTTACATTATGACTTAGACAATAAGTTTCATAGAAGATAGTATATGGTCTTGAGATTGTAAGAATGTAAGGTTACAGAAAACATATACATGAAAGATTACTTCTCTCTCTGAATCTTCTCTATCTCTCTCTATCTTCTTTATTCTTCTTCGTATCTTTTACAAACATTATACATCTTATTCTTCTCTGAGATTACAGCTTGGTTAACATAGTATCGTCGCCTAAATAGCTAATCACTCGGTTGGATATTTTCGATCTTGAATTGCTTCCGCTCATCATTTCTGATCTCATTGTCGTCATTTCTGGTTTCTGGGTGTTCTTCATCTTCCCTCTACCAGTTTTCTTTGTGTTCGTCTGCTGTCCACATCAAGTGTTTGATAAAAGTCCTCAATCGCTGTTCTTCTTCAAGATTTCAGATTTCTTGCAGAAATGGTTACTGCTTCACAACTGCATATTGTTCAGTCTCCAATTACATCCTTCATCTCCACTGTTTCAACATCTGTTATAGTAAAGCTCGATGAGACCAATTACTTGGTTTGGAATTTTCAGATGCAGCGTCTTCTTGAAGGGCATGGAATTGTGGGTTTTGTGTATGGATCCGCACCTTGTCCTGTTCAATTCATAAGGGTTACATCTAATGGGTCCAAGGTTGATTCAGAATTCGATGACTACAAGATCTGGAAGATGCACGATCGTGCATTGATGCAGTTGATTACTGCAACATTCTCACCACCTGCCATTTCTTGTGTTATAGGGAGTACTAGTGCTCAGGATCTATGGACAAGACTCAAGGAACAATTCTCGACTGTTACAAGAACAAGTATTTTCCAGATGAAGTCAGAATTACAAAATATTAAAAAGGGTAATGATTATGTTTCTCTCTATTTGCAAAGGATCAAGGAGGCTCGAGACTATCTTTCTGCAGCTGGGGTTAAGTTTGATGATGATGATATAGTAATTCTTACTCTTAATGGCCTATCATATGAGTATAATACCATTAGATGAATCATTCGACGCAGGGAACATGTTATTTCTCTTAAAGATTTAAGATCTCAATTGCTTGCTGAAGAAGCAATGCTTGAGAATGCCTCTGCAACCCCTTTTCTTACTGCGATGGCTGCTGATAATAGTGGTTCTCAGACACAGTTTAATGGGAAATCTAGACAACAGTCATCTTACAACAATCAAATTGCTGGGTCTAATTTTGAAAGATCCTATGGAACTCAATATGGTTCTTCGTATAAACCATTCTATAACAAGAATAAAGGTAAAGGAAGCTCCAAAATGGTTCCAAATTTGGGAACAACAAGCCATTTTATCCAAATCCAGCTCGTGGGATTCTTGGAACTTCACCAATTCAGGCTAATTCTGGAAATTCTTGTCAAATATGTGGCAAGTATGGTCATCTTGCTAATACATGTAGATTTCGAAACATTGAATTTGGAATGGTTGAAGGATGTCAAATATGTGGAAGAAAGAACCACAGTGCACAATTTTGTCATTTCAGGAATGCCAACATTAATTCTACTTCTGGATCAATGAATGTTATGCATGTCAATGCATCTGCACCTCCAATGGACTCAACCTTTTCTCAGCAAGTTTGGCTTACAAATTCAGGTGCAACAAATCACATGACTGCAGATTTGAAGAATTTGTCATTGGCAACTCCTTTTCCTTCCACTGAGATGATTCAAACTGCTAGTGGTGAAGGTTTGAAAGTTTCTCATAAAGGATCTTCCATATTGCAGACTCATTTTCATAATCTAAAATTAAATTCAGTTCTATATGTGCCCAGAATATCTTAGAATTTACTCCTCTGTACATAAGATCTGTCTTGATAATAATTGTTGGTTGATATTTGATGCTTGGTGTTTTTGGATTCAGGACAAAGTCACAGGGAGGATATTGTTCAAAGGTCTCTGCAATGATGGATTGTATCTCATCCCCTTCACGTCAGCATCATCTCATACACCAAAGCCTTCTATGCTGCTTATATTGGCAAACCAGTAACCTCTAGTCTGTGGCACCATAGGTTAGGCTATCCATCCAACAAAGTTGTTTCTCTTATGCTTAGGAAATCAAATGTATCTAGCATTCCTGATTCCATACATGTGATGTGTTCAAGTTGTATTGAGGGCAAAATTAGCAAGCTACCCTTTGATTCAGCCACATACAAATTTGTCCAACCTTTTGATATTGTACATAGTGATGTATGGGTCCTACCCCGTGTCTGTCTATAGAAGGTTTTAAGTACTATGTTACCTTCATATATCAATGTACTCGATTTTGTTGGATTTTTCCACTTGTCAATAAAGCTTATGTTTGTCCCACATCTATTACCTTTTATCAATTTGTACTTAATTAGTTCTCCGTGTCCATTAAAACACTTCAGAGTGATGGAGGGGGTGAGTATATAGGCCACCAGTTACAAACCTTTCTTGCTGCCAAAGGCATTAGTCATCATTTATCTTGTCCATACACACCAGAACTGAATGGTTTAGCCAAGAGGAAACATCGTCACATTATTGAAACTACAATCACTCTTCTTCAAACATATCACTTACCTGCACCATTTTGGTCTTTTGCATGTCAAACATCAGTCTATCTTGTTAATCGAATGCCATCACAAATTCTCAATCATAAATCACCATTTGAAATGCTATATGGTTCTGTCCCTAATGTCAGTCACCTAAAAGTTTTTGGTTGCTCTTGTTATCCACTCTTAAAGCCCTTAACCTCTACAAAGTTACAACCTAGAACAATTAAGTGTATTTTTCTGGGATATGCATCAAAGTACAAGGGCTACCTATGTTATGTAGTTACCAAAAAGAAAGTTTATATTTCTAGGCATGTTTTGTTTGATGAATCTGAATTTCCTTATTCAGTTATTGCATCAACACATGCACCAAGTCTCCATACATCACAAGTGTCAAAACCAAGTATACAACCATCAATGCCTAATCTTGCTAATGTGCTAGTCTCACCATCATCACCATCATCATTGTCCACTGATCCTAACCTACTACCTTCACAATCCATCAATGCAAGTGAACAATCTTCATCTACATATATCCCTGTGGCTCCTGAGGTTCCAATTAAGAACTCTATGGTCTCTGGGGTTCAATTTGAAAGTATTCCAGCAGTGTTATCTATTCCTCAATTGAATTTGCATCCAATGCAAACCAGATCTAAGAGTGGTATTTCTAAAAAGAAGGCATTCCTTACTACTGTTTAGGAAAGTGGGACTGTGGATCTTTCTACTGTTGAACCTGCAACATACAAATCTGCATTGAAGTGTAAAGTTTGGGTTGATGCAATGAAAGAAGAATTAGATGCACTTCATACTTAGTCTACATGGACTTTAGTTCCTCTTCCTACACAGAAAAACATTGTTGGTTGTAAATGGGTGTTTAAGATTAAAAAGAATGTTGATGGGTCCATAGGGAGATATAAGGCTCGATTGGTGGCAAAAAGATTCAATCAAGAGGAAGGCATCGATTATGGGGAAACATTCAGCCCAGTTATTAAGCCAACAACTGTGAAGATTGTGTTGGCTATGGCAGCTTATTTTGGGTGGAATTTGAGACAACTCGATGTCAAGAATGCATTTCTGCATGGAGTATTGCAGGAAGAGGTGCACATGTCCCAACCTCCAGGTTTCAGTGATCCTTAACACTCTGACTATGTTTGCAAACTGCACAAGTCTCTATATGGGTTAAAACAGGCCCCTAAAGCCTGGAATGACAGGTTTACAAGTTTTTTGCCATCACTTGGTTTAAAAACAACTAATGCAGATCCATCTTTATTTGTGAAACAGTTTGGCTCTTCTGTTGTAATATTGCTTCTCTATGTGGATGACATTATCATCACTGGGAATGCTCCAAGCTTGATTGATGATGTGATTGTTGCCTTAACAAAGGAGTTTGACATAAAAGATTTAGGTCATCTGCATTTCTTTTTGGGAATTCAGGTTATTTCACAAAATGATGGTTTGGTTTTATCACATGAAAAGTATGTTAATGACCTCCTCACAAAAACTGAAATGCTTGATTCCAAGCCTTGTTCAACTCCTTATCTACCTTATAATCGATTAGTTCTTGATGATAGGAAACCTTATAATAATCCAGCTTTTTATAGAAGTGTGGTTGGTGCCTTACAATATCTAACATTCACTAGGCTGGATATAGTCTTTGCCATGCATCAGGTATGTCAGTTCATGCAAACTCCCATGGAATCTCACTTTAGTGCAGTCAAAAGGATACACAGATATCTAAAAGGTATTATCCGTTTGGGTATTCGGTATGTTCGAGGAGGATTAGAAGTTAATTCAGACATTGTCAGAGCATTTTTTGATACTGATTGGGCCGGAGACCCAAATGATCAAAGATCTACTACTGGTTTTGTGATATTTTTGGGTTCAAATCCGATCTCGTGGTCCTCTAAGAAGCAATAAACAGTCTCCAGGTCGTCCACTGAGGCCGAGTATTAAGCACTTGATGCTACTACAGCTGAACTGGATTGGATTAAGCAATTATTGACCTTTATGCATCTTGATATTCCTCATTCCCCAGTTATGTACTGTGATAATATGTCAGCAATTGCATTAACATTAAATCCGATTCTACATCAATGCACAAAGCACAATGAAGTTGACATTCATTTTGTTCGCGAACGAGTTACAAAGAAGCAGTTGCATGTTTAGTTTGTGTCTTCCAGTGAGCAATATGCAGACATACTGACCAAGGGGTTATCAGCTCCTCTTTTTCAGACTCATTGTCGCAATCTCAGTCTCGATTCCACCTCTCTTAATCTTGAGGGGGGATGTTAAGGATAGTAATCCAATGGTAGAATATGGACACATTTGTCAAAAGATTAGGAAGGTTGTTAGAGTTAGTTACATTGTGACTTAAACAATAAGTTTCATAGAAGATAGTATATAGTCTTGAGATTGTAAGAATGTAAGATTACAGAAAATATATACATGAAAGATTACTTCTCTCTCTAAATCTTCTTTATCTCTCTCTATCTTCTTTATTCTTCTTCTTATCTTTTACAAACATTATACATCTCATTCTTCTATGAGATTACAGCTTGGTTAATAATGCTCTCTGTCTGCATTTTTTTGTTTTTGGGTCGAAGTTTCTGTGCTTTTTAGATGGGCCTTCGGGCCTTATGCTCCATAAAAGAAGGCTGTGTGATCCGATTTGATTAAGTACACTAGAAAATCATTGAGGATGTTTTGTAGCGATAGTTCAAGTGAATTACGTGTTGGGAAATTTTAGTTAAACATATGTAACCTCTTTCTACATCCTATTTAAATTTTAAATATGAATTGGCTTTTTTACTTTATTGTATAATTAGCATTAAGTACAAAATGAAACTAACAATAAAACTAAAATTGATTAATAAACCCACAGTTAGTAATTAAACATTTACCATCATGCAATCTTTTCTAACGTTCTATTTGGCTAAAATCGTAAGACAAGAGCAAGCTATTTTCTACGAATGGATGGTGACCTGAAGTTTTGGATCCTCCAACTAAGGTACGAATTGATTTATATAAACAAATGAACCCTCTTCCACCTTTGAAGCCTTGTGGAGCAAATAAGTAGTTTTAACATGCCATATATGCTGTAGTTCGTTCTATATATAAACAATTGAACTCATTTCAACTAAGAGTTGGTTGTGGTTCCCAAAAAATGTGAAGTGGGTGGCTTCATTATGGATGAATCAATCTCGTAGCCTTATCGCAGCAGCACCAGATTCAAACCGCTAACTTCGGTTGCATTTCCACGACTTCTACAGATATTCGTTGGTCCTATGGCAGTAGGAGTTAAAACCTACGTGAAACTAACTAGTCCAATAGCTATAATGACTCACAAGTCAAGTTGGACTGCTCAATCTTCCCGTTCCATGACCAAATTGCTCATAAAAGCATCAGAAAGTGACCAAAAAGGGTGTCATCAAGCTTTTCCAACATGGTAATCACGCACTCCTTTACTTAGCCTCGGAAGACCAAGATTTTCCAACATGGTGATTGCATAAACAAGGATGGCTTTATGCCATTCTCCTGTAAACCTAAATGATAAATTAACTCTCGCCAATTCTTATTAATTTCGATTTCTGTTAAATCATGAAGAATCAAAAGGGAAGACGACGGACTTATTGGAGGAGAGAATGTGAGAAGAGAGAACATATATTTTGCTTTTGAGTTTTATTTTTAAATGGGTGTAAAACTAAATTACATATTGAATTAGATTTGTGAGGGTAGTCTAGATAGTAAATTAGGGTTTAAAGAGATATTAATAGTTTGATTACAAATAAGATGGGCGTAGAGAATAAATTGGGTGTAAAGAGAAGTTATATGGGTTCATATAAAATTACCCTTATGCATTTGTCATGTGTAAAATCTTTCTCTAATTATATGAGATACTTGATTTGCAGTCGAGGATATTAAACGTTAAACGTTTTGATTTGTAAGAGAGTGATTAGAAATATAGACATATCAATGCATAAAACTAAAGTTTTTTTATTTTGACAAGACGATATTTTAAATTTGTCGAGGTACTATTTTTTTTTTTTCTTTTCAAATTAAAATGCAAGTTAAAAAATGGTAGGAGGTAACCGAATTAAGACCCTCTCTAGATTTCTTTGTCCGAACCTCACGGATCAAGAGATTTGGATCACTCAACTTTGATCATACAACTTTTATTAGCGCATCTCACTGTCCCAATTCATAAAAACTAAAAAACTTGAACGGTCTCAATCTCCTTATCTTTTGAACGGTGAAAATGTCTCAGTCCGCAGACTCTCGACACAAAGATCTGGAGTTGATCTCTTTGAGGAGGTAACCAATTAAAAAGGAGTCCCACCACTGCACTTTTGTTTTATCCAGGTCCCACCACTCTTATCCCTCTCCTCTTTATTCTTCATCGTTGTAGCCCTCCATCTCCCAACTTCCTCATCTTCTTCCACCATGACCCAAGTCATCTGTTATCAAAATGTGATGGTCTCAAATCCCACTAATCTCTTCTAATTGTAAAAAAAAGTCAAACTTGTAATTGCATATATTTGAATCAATGAGAATCCCCAGGCTTTAAGCTCATATGCTGCCACAACAATCGGTTTAGCAAATTAAATGTTGGTTTTATTAATTTTCATGTCGGGTTTTATAACTTACAGCTTTAAGATCTTGGGTTTCTGTTGGACGGTCCAATTTCAAGGCTTTCTCTTGAGAAATTGAGGACATTTGATTTACATAGATCTCGACATTTAAATTTATCTAATAGTAGTAACTAGTAAGTAAGTTGCTGAAAATTATCACCACTTGAGAATAGTGGAAAAAAATACACCTATAAAGTCAATAGGAAAATGTTGTAACTTGTTACCTGTCATTGCTCTGTTGAAAATACTGATGGGTAGTGAATGCCCATAGTGTCTTGGTGGAGTTTTTTTCAATGCCCTCACAGATTGGTTTTTAACATTGGCATTGTTTATGACTACACACACACATTGTCAATTCCCATAACAGATTGAAATTGACTTTGGGGATGCAGGAGATTACATTTTCCAAAAGAGTGCTGTAATTTTTAATGTGTAATTAATGTATCAGTATTGGAGTTGCTCTATAAATAGAGCACTCTATATGCTTTCAAGGTACACAGAGAAAATCATAGAGAAAAACATATAGACTAAAAGAAAGAAAGATAAATAACATCATTTATTCCTCCGTCTTTTATTTGTCATCCACTTAAGTTATAATTATGGTGTGGTACTTTATATCTGCCTCGTATCTATCACTAAAAATGTTATCTCTCTAACTTTTACATATTTATAACATGCCCTTTATTTATCATATTTATTTGGATTTTTATCACAAATGGTTTCTGAAATTGATCAACTCTATCAAGATGATCTTTAAAATTAGGTGTCGCAAATCAATGTAATCATTCTATCACAATTTCGTCAAAAATTTTGTTATATGATGATGTGGCATGTATATGGATCCCACAAATTTAATTAATTATTATATGTGAATTAAAAATATTTAAATAAAAAAACAATTTTTATTTTTATTAAAAAAATAAAATTAAAAAAAAATCACCACCCAATCAGTAAAAATATGGAGAGCTTCAAAGCAGCTTCAACAAACCCAGTTGTCCTTCTATTTCAGCTCTCTCTCTCTCTCATTCTCTCCTTTGTTTACCGAATCGCGACCCGCCTCGCCTCCAACTTCCACCGCCAAACGCTTTGATGGGTGTTCACTCCGAACCAATCCTGCTGCCTTTTTGGGCAGATTGAGTGCCTTGATGAGGTTTAATTTCTCATCCTTTATGCGATCATCCCCATTCTCAACCTTAATTTTCTTCTTCTTTCTGGCCGAGCAATTGCAACGGAACGGATTGGATTGAATTCGACGAGCCAGTACTGTGTCGCTAATGAAGAAGCAGAGGTTTCCATGCAGGCAAGGAGGAAGGGAGTAGCCTACGGCGACGACGACGGGGGGAGGGGGCACTTGGGTCTCAGGCGTTCTAGCAGTCTGTTGTAAATTTATTATTTGTTATTTTTTTTAACACAAAATAATAATACTTAACTGTTATGATCCTGTATCTCGATCACAATTAGTGATGTAATAGCAGACTAAATATGAGTATTAGAGAGTGATTAGTTATTGCCAGCTGGCAATTTGTTGTAGTGGAAACTTATATATAAGCTCATGCTTTGGATGTAAAAAGTTAGATCAGAATTTTACAAAAGAAATCAATACAAAAAAATATTGGAGCTCTGCTCCTTCTATCTTCCTCTTTCCCTCTCTTCTATATGCAATAGTTAAGGTTGAGTTAGGGTTTGAGATTTAGGTTTAACATTAACCCTGTTAAGTATTTGTTAAATTAGACGAATCCGAATCAGACATAGTAGGAGACACAAATTTGAGGACAGCAGACCTGCAGCCAATGAACAGTGTTCAATTATCTCCTTCTTTTTTTTTTTTTTTTTTTTAAGATTTTAATTATTAAAAAAAAATTTTGTTTTTATTATTTAAATATTTTTTATTCACATAATAATATTTAATTAAATTTATGTGACCTATTTATGTGCCACATCAATCCTTAACATAATTTTTAACAGAATTATGACAGAAGGACCACCTTGATTTGCAACAGCTATTTTCAGGAACTACATTGATCGATTTTTAATTTCAGAAATCATCTTGATTGAGTGGGTCAATTTCAAAAATCATTTGGAATAAAAACCCTATTTATTTTATGATAAGTTTCATTTAACGATAGCAGGCCCTAAAACTACGTTGACTCCCCATGGCTTATTTGGCCCACTTGAGGTTTGACAGCATGAGGGTTTAAGATCATGTCTCCTTCGTATATTGGTTTGACAGAGGCCTTTAAAAGCAGAGATCTTTATTTTATTTTTTTTAAGGATAAAGTACAAAAAACT